TAACTAAGCCAAGAATAAATCATGGCAAGAATATGGCTCTTTGTACTTACCCACTACAATGGTGTGAATGTGTTTTTGAGCGGTGTTTGATGATAAGTAGGAAAAAATAGAAAAATGGTTTAAATTAAAACGTATGACACAGTGTAAACAAGAATGAAACCACAGCTATTAAAAGGTCGCGTTCAATGTGTTGTCTAAACTTATACAACTCACTCACCGGTGGCAACGGAAGCTTCAACGATAACGTGAATATGTTTTTTGGAGGCGTTAAACAGGAAAGAAAAAAAAAACACAAGTTAGTCAACATTGCAAACACTCTAACCCACTCACGTACACACTACCTACGTCCCCAACGCCCGAGTCAGTCGTGAACAGTAATACACTTACCGGGAGTCAAGAAAGTCTTGAGATAAGCGACTTTCTCGTCGTCCGTAGGGCAATCTTTAAGCACTTCTTGCGCTACCTCCCTTTTATCGTTGCAATTGCTGAAAAACGACCGCAGGGCGGTCTTTTCCTCAATAGTGAGGTGGAGTCGAGAAATTTCTGTAAAAACGGTTCTATCCAGAGAAACAGACATTTCAAGCAAAGCGAAGATGCTGCTAGGGCGATGTGATCTAATATAGTGGGAAACGCGAAAATTCACATGATTTACAAGTAACCAATCAGGTTAATATTACATTACAATTAATACATACTTATTTCGATAATAACTAGTCTTTGTGAATCGGACGTTGGAGACAAAGTACAGTCAACTGCCTTTAACATTAATTCGTCCGGAGTCATTAACGTATTAAAGTCGATTGCCGATAATTCGACAAGCGAGTAACTACGTATCTATGCCGTTAGCTTACTATTACGGTCTATAATAACGCGTTAAATACTCATCCTCTGAAAAGCAACGGACTAAGCATATGTTTATGAGTTAAGTCACTTTTTACCACATCAAGATGAATACATTACTGTACTAATTGATCTATAAAGTACTATTTAAACGCTTTGAGGCTTTTGAGACACAAGATATCCCATTCCGTGAGTCATAATAACAGCGAGAAAGGTTAAGAGTTCAATAGTCAACTACTGGATCGTGTTTTAACTTTTGCTATGTCATCGTATTATAATAACTGGATCGTAGCAAAAGCGTTGCACTATTATCAACGACAAGACTGTCAATTCTGACAAATATTCTATCGCAATATAGAAATAATGTTACCGAATGAAGATGAAGATTGCATGTTCAGATAAAGGTACAATCTAATCTGTGTATAGCTACACTAATCGATACAGTAAAATAAGCTTTTCTTTCCGACTTCTAACAAATATTCTTATAGCATATAAAACAATTATGGAACGAATGAAGATTGCGTATGTAAGTGATAATTACAATCTGCGTATAGCTACACTAATCGGTAAATAAATAACATTTTCTTTCCTGACTTATAATAAATATTCTACAGCGATACAGAACAATTATGGAAATAACATTACAGAATGAAGGTGAATATTGCATATATGTATGTTGATTACAATCTGCGTGTAGCTACACGAATCGGCAAATAATCAACCTTTCTTTCCTGACTTATAACAAATATTCTACAGCGATATAGAACAATTATGGAAATAACGTTACAGAATGAAGGTATATAAGTGACGATTAGATAAGATAGCTACATTAATCGGTGTTCAATAAGACAAACTTTTCTTTTCTGACTTTTTGTGACGACGACAAGTTATAATAAACTGAAATAACGTGGCAGTATTCCGCTGTCGGATGCTTGTTTATTCACGCACAAATGTATTCCTTTATTTGTGAATTTGATAAGAATGTGTTGATTTCGCGCTTACGGTTTATTTTGCAATTACTATTACGCGAATATTATCTCATCGTAGAAATGTAACAAACAAATAAGTATCTTATTTCCATCCGCGAAATAAAACGGGTCGATCATTCTTGCCTTTGATTTTTCACATGCATTCGTAAAGAACAGCCTATAACTATCTACGCAATTCGACGCATAGCAAAAAAAAAATCTCGTTCAATTTACGTATTTGTAAGTATGTTTATCATACGTGTATATACAGCCAAGTGGAACCCGTTCGCGAAACACTCAAACCGGTGAACGCGCTTGTCAACAATAATAAATTTAAATATAAAAATGTCGTCGTAATAATTGCAATTTTTCACTTGTCGTAACTGACTTCACTGATCTAAGCTTTAACGTATTTTTTGATCCTAAATATGCCGTACTGTAACAGTTGCAAAAAACAGCTCCCCGAAGATGTGTTTAAAGCAATTAAAGATAGTATATTTAAAGTTTGTGCTCAATGTTTAAGTAAAAGACAAATTAAATATAGCAATTCGAAAGACAAAAAACCGACGGCTTATGACAACTATGCTAAAACACCAATTAACGATTTACCACGACATGAAAACTCGTTGCGATTCTGCAGCAATTGTAAAAAACATCTTACCGAAGATTCGTTCAAAATAATCCGAAACGCTTTGTCAAATTGTGCACGAAATGTTTAATTTAACGAAAAAATAATTATAAAAATTCAAAAGAAAAAAACAAGTATCAACAAGAATCTTCGAGGACGGCCATACTAACTAACTCCACTGTCAATTGACGAAAATAATATTCAACAGAACAACGGCTCGAACATCATTCAATCTACTGAAATGCATCTAGATAATTTATCTCAATTTGTGCAAAAATTTTTGGATTTGGATAATTCTAAGGAACTTGAACTCAATGTCGCATTTGAAATTGAAAACAACACAGAAATGATAAATCAAATTGCCCAAAAAATTAAGGAGGAAATTGGAAACGGAGATGGATACAATTTTATAGTTTCTGGAAAGCCAATGCCTCAGTGCAAAATCCAGAAAAAATCGGCACAACATACTACCTTTGCAGCCAATCTTCAATATTTAATAATTACAAAGATTCTAATCGAAGACGGATGCAAAGATTTGATTGCCATGGTCAACTCATAATCCGCGTCAATATTGAAATGCGTAAAGCCAAAATCCAACTTAAACATTCCTTACAACATAAAAGACCTTCAATGTCGGTCAAGAAGTAGTCACTGAAATCCAAAAAAATTTCCACTTAGATCCGTCACAATTACGCACTTATCTCTCAGCACATTTTGATCTCAAAGACATTACTAACAAACAGATATATTATTGGTGGAGTGTAGCTACTGAGAAGACGTACCAAAAAAATAAAAATCCTGTACATTCAGCAATACGTCTTCTTGAAGAACGCTTTCAAGAAAAAGGCTGTGCGCTATTAATGACAATACATACAGCAAGCGTAACAGCAATAGCATTTTCTTCTCCTTGCTTAACGTATTTGAAAGAACATGTTACGGAGATACACGTTGACGCGACATACAAGACAGCTAAAGGGCGATTCGAACTATATGCGATAATCGGACAATATCAAGGTACAGGATTTGCACTTGGTTATTTAATTTTGGATACGACTAAGGATGGCGCTAAACTTGATATGGGAAAAACGACAATTTTGACAGATTATTTTTCGAAATTCAAGAACCTCGGCTTGTCACCGAGTTACGTGTTCTCTGACAAAGACTTTTCCCAAATAAATGCAGCAAGAAGTGTTTGGCCGGATGCCAACATTCAACTTTGTCTTTGACATATCAAAAAGGCAATTTGAACCAAAATGAAATCAAGTCAACGAGGAAAATACAAAAATTTTACAGAATTCGAGCTGGCAGGCCTTGATTTTGTTGATCGTCAATTTGTACCAACTAACGTGAATAATAGTAACGGTTTGTCCGGTTATTCACCAAAACACTGTACTTAATCTAGTGGAGCGTCATTTTAATTTGCATCCGTTAATTCCATTTGGAGCGGAAGGAAACTTTTTAACCGTGGATGAAATCTGGAAAAAGGCTGTCCAAGAAATCTATTTATTTTGTCACAAAAATAATTATCCCGAACTCTGGAATTATTTATTTTTTTCGTGGTATACAAAAAATCGCTGAAATTTATGGGCAAGAAGTACTAATCCAACAATTCCATTTGGAAAGACAAATATGCTGGTCGAATCGCATTGGAAGGTCATAAAACATGATTATTTGTACCGATTCAATCGTCCCCGAATAGACTATGTCGATTTTGTTCTCTGCGAAAAAGTAATTTCAGCACAAATAACTCGATTACACCAGCTAGCGAATGGACGAGCTAATCCATATTGGTGGGAGAATTTCAAGCGCACTTGGAAGATTTGTGCTAGTGAAGATATTGCTATAAATGTGGGTGAACGTTATTATGTGGATATTGATAGATGGATATGTAGCTGTCCAGCTTTCCGCTTTCTAGTATGCAAACATCTCGTTCAGGAAATAGATGAAGCACCACAGCAATTGCTATATGCGATTTTAATCGGCGCACTGTGTATCCTTTCTGGTCGTTTAAATGGAAATCAGGAACTGATGTTGATACACATTGCATTACATCAGAAAATAGTCGTCATCCGATTGAAACCACTCAATGTGTGAATAGTAATAGTGAAAATGAAAATTTTATTCTTTCCGAAGAAGATTTTCAAACCGAACTTAAATATTGTGAATCACTTATCAGTCATATGCGGGAAGAATATACGGCAGGAAACCACAGGCATGTAAGAGCTTTACTTCAAGGTACAAAACGGGTGCGCACGATCATGGAGGATATAGAGAAAGAGCGCAAAAAACGGAGGAGACAGCCTATGTGGAAAAATTCAAAACCGCATACACTATT